CATCCCCATCCCTGGTCCCAGCATCGAACCAGCCCCGTCATCAGTTCCTCAAACACAGCCTTTTAGCGCTCCTTACATGCCTTATAACAGGGCTTCTTCGTCGTCTCACCCATCTAGTAGCACTGTGCCGCCTCCTCCAACCCCTTACCCTCTGCCGCAAGATCCCGCTTGCTCACGCTTGGTCTGTGAAGCGCCATTAGGTTCTCCTCAACCTTCATTCGTTCAAGTCGACGACGCTACGCACACTCAAACAGAGCAAGCACTGCCCATGTTTTTTGATCCAACTGCCTCAACGGATGGGAACCAGCGGACACAGGCTAGTAACCGCATGGATCCTCTGAAGCTTTGGGGTTTCCAGTCGGAGCAAGACTGGCAGGCAGCTCTGCAGCACCATCAGCCGCAGCTCCAGCAGAATGAGTGGAAGCAGCAGGAACATTCACAGCAGCAGCAACACCAGCGATATCACCATTATCATTTTCAGCATCCGCAGCAGCAGTTGCAGCAGCAGCAGCAGCAGCAGGAGGTACATCCACAGCAGCAGCAACACCAGGGACATAACCACCACCATTTTCAGCATCCGCAGGAGCAGCAGCAGCAGCAGCAGCAACAACAGCAGCGATATCACCTTTATCAATTTCAGCATCCGCAGCAGCAGTTGCAGCAGCAGCAGCAGCAGCAGGAGGTACATCCACAGCAGCAGCAACACCAGGGACATAACCACCACCATTTTCAGCATCCGCAGGAGCAGCAGCAGCAGCAGCAGCAGCAGCAACAGCAGCGATATCACCATTATCATTTTCAGTATCCGCAGCAGCAGTTGTAGCAGCAGCAGCAGCAGCAGCAGCAGGAGGTACATCCACAGCAGCAGCAGCAGCAGGAGGTACATCCACAGCAGCAGCAACACCAGGGACATAACCACCACCATTTTCAGCATCCGCAGGAGCAGCAGCAGCAGCAGCAGCAGCAGCAGCAGCAACAGCAGCATAATCAAAACCAGCAACAACAACAGCAGCCCCAAGTGCCCTCAATTCTCACTTTTACGGGGCAAATTTGTTTCCAGGAGAATCCAACCACCACCTGCATATCCCCCACAGGTATTCCCAAGTGTGAACCTCATGCTGCAGGCTCTACTGCCAATTCGCTCCCTCATCAAACTGTGGCGCCACAATTTGCAGAGACCACCGCATATGGTTATTTTTCAACAGCCCCAGTCTCTCAAACTCTCCGAGAAATGCGAGCCGGTTGAGTACAGCTGGCCTTGTCAATCCATCCCCAATCCTTGCAGCTCACAACCACTCATCCCTTTGTCAGGCCCGCCGATACTGGCTGCTCATGTAACTACCAGCAACCCCAGTAGGGTTACCACCTGTAGCTGTAACCCTGGCGATGGTGCGTTGGGTCATTTGGTGGAGCCAATCGATTCAGTTGTGACAGAGGTAGTTGGGAGCATGGATATAAGTGACACAGTTCCAGCCGCGGCTGCTGCGGCAGACGCCATGGCTGACGCCGTGGCAGATGTTGTGGTTGCAAGTGACAGAGATCCCTGGCCGGTGTGTGATGCCTGGGATGTGAAACCGAATGCAGCGAATGCAGCTGATGGGCCGAGTTATCCCCATCTGCTTTCTTCCCAGCAGCAGCTGGAGCAGCAGGAGCAACAGCAGCAGCACCACCACCAGCAGCAGATGGAGCCGTGTGACTATCAGGAGCAGCAGCAGCAGAAGCAGCAGCAGCAGCAGCAGCAGCAGCAGATGGAGCCGTATCATCATCATCAGCAGCAGGAGCAGGAGCAGGAGCAGCAGCAGCAGCAGCAGCAGCAGGAGCAGCAGCAGCAACACCAGCAGAAGATGGAGCCATATCATCATCAGCAGCAGCAGGTACAACAGCAGCCAGCCGCTCACATGGCAAATCATGCGTGCAGCGTCAATACTTACAGTGGCAGCAGCACTCTCACAACCAACCCTCCCAGCCTGAGCCGGCCTGCAGGGCTTTCGGCAGGCCATACAACTCTGTATGGCCAGTATTCAAGAGCAAGGCCCCAGGAAGTCGTTCCTAACTGTATAACACGTGCAGTCTCGAGCGCAAGCACAGACAAGAGCGCACAGGCTAGTTTCCAAGGTGGTGATAGTGGCACTGATACATGTCAACTGAATAGGGCTGACAGCAATGGCATGACTGTGGGGAGCATGAGCTGCTGCGCCCTGGACCCATGCATGCATGTCTAAGTGCCAGATGCTTGCTCGGTTGACCTTTTCCTGATGCCGGACCACATTGGCATGTCAGGTGTTTCCATCCGGGGCTGTGATGATTCGGTAAGGGTGATGGTGCCGGCTGGACAGAAATGCAGCAGAGACAAGGAGTGTGTTGACTTTGACTGCAGTCAGGATATCTTGTGTGGGACGCAGATGACTTGGGTTAAACGCCATTCACACTTGCATTCTTGATCCTACGATTGCTTGACCATGCTTTGTTATGTGTTGAGATCTAGTCTCGGTTGTAGTGTAGGGTTACCAAGGCTTTATTAGTATGTTCTGATCTACTGTAGTTTAGTTGTAAGCTTGACAATGCTATAGCCAGGTTAGGACAGTCGGTTTTGTATATGGCGGAGTCTCTATTGAGGTGCCATCGGAGCATAAAAAGGATGGGTTGAAGCTTCATGAGGGTCGGCGGTATGGTCTAAGCCCGCCAAGGGTTCGGTGTTTGGTTTGAACATCGGAAGACATTTTCCAACGCGTAGTGTTCCGTGCATCAAGTCATCTCTAATCCAGGAATTTCGACAAAAGGTTTCTTTGCCTTAGCAATGAGATGTTGCAAGTTCAACAAGCACTGATGGTACAGAAATCCATGCACGTTACAGAGATGATATCCTACCCACTCCTTTTCCCCACTGCTCTTCTTCCCACCAGGGCTAATTTTATCAGGGTAAATCACCCTGATACCCTGATAATCAGGGTGGTTTTTGGCTATCACACTGATGCCTTAGGGTAATTTTTTCAGGAGCTTGTATTTCCCTGATAGGCCAGGGCTTACATTAAAGGTACACTGACGGCCCAGGGTTACCGATCTTCGTAACGAGTTTTACCCTGAATCGAGTATATACCCTCCCCAAGCCCCCCCCCCCCCCCTCTCTACCCAACCCCCCCTTCCCCGTAACCCGAGGTTCTTGCGTGCCAACTGTCGAAACTGAAATTTGGCAGAGGCAATATCTGAGCTGGCACGAGGGGGGCCTCCATTGGCCAGAAATACAGTTTCGTTATTATCTGCCAACAATAATATCAATACACCAGGGTTTGCAAAACTGGTACACTGATCCTACAGGGTATAATTTTCAAAAACTAGGAATACCCTGATGGATCAGGGTTTGAACAAGGTGTCACACTGATAATCAGGTTTTTGGGCTTGTGCAACACTGATCACAAGGGTTGCTGAAAACAAAAAATTAGCCCTGCTTCCCACTCCCTGCTCCCACTGTTTTACTTTCCACTCATTAGCCCCACTTCACTTCTCGCCACTCCCTGTTACTATGTCTGAGCATTCAATCACATAGTCAATGCACCCAAGTCTGCTTTCTGTCATTCCGAAAGATTATGTTAAAGAACAAGTGTCAGAATCCCAACAACTGGACCATTGGGATAAAATGACTTGTTTGTGTAGCGGTTGAGTGCGCCCATAACCCCCAGACCAACGTGCCTGTAACCCTTCCCTAGGATCAATCGAGGATCACAAGTGGACCTCTGACACCCCCCTTCACTGGGATGCTCGAGGTGCGCACACTGGGATTCGAACTCGAGACCTTCGCTCTGATACCACGCCAGAATCCCAGCCAGTAACCACATGGATAAAAGGGCTTGTTTGTGAAGCGGGTGAGTACTCCCCAGGCCAACGTGCATGTAACCCTTCCCTAGGATCAATCCAAAATCACCAGTGGACCTCTGACAACAAGAACCACAGTATATATAAGTGCCAAAATGTTTATATGTTTCTATATTTTCTAGGTTGTGTAGGGGTTATCTCTAGAGGGTACAACCACTTTGCTCGACACTCTTGTACCCCCCCTTCCTTACCTAATCCACATTCCTCTCTCGTAAGATTTTAACATGGTAGCATGAGCTAGTCGTTTCTTAGGATCGTTTCTTTTTTTGGGCCCACCGTTTAGTCGATTCGATTTTCAGTCAAAGTCGACCATCAGTTCTATCGATCGCGACTAGGCCGCCCCTTGGAGCTGCCTTACCTCATGAGATCGCCCCTGCCCTGCCCCGCGCGCTAGCCAGAACGCTGTCCGCACACTGCCAGCCCGCATTGCATGCGCGCCGCCTGCTGCAAACGCGCTGCTTAGCTACACGCGCGCTGCTTGCTGCAAACGCGCTGCTTAGCTACACGCGTGCTGCCTGCTACCTACCTGCGAGCGCCCTGCCTGCCTGCACGCGCCACTGTGCCCTTGCCCGCGAGTGCCATTGCGCCCCTGCCCGCTCGCGCTGCCCGCCAGCAGCTCGCGCGCCCTATCTGCGCCCTGCTCGTCAGAGCTGCTACGCGCTGCTGCTGCTGCTGCTGCTCCTGCACACGCTACTACTAAGCCCTGCTGCTGCTGTACGCGCTGCTACAGCTACGCTCTGCCCTCAGAGGCCCCTACCCGCCAGCTGCTGCTGCTGCTAAGCTGCTGCTGCCGCACTGCCTAGCCGCTCGTGTGAAGAGTGAGGAATGAATGAACTAGCACAAGGTTGGGTACAAGTAGGAAACCCTAGGAACTGTACCCCATAGTGTCTACCCCACTATAGCCTAGACAAGCTATATGATATAAGTTTGACACACCCCCATAGGCAAAGTGGGGGAGAACAAGAGGTCACAAGACCAGTCAAGCAAAGCAAAGCAAGCTCAGGGTGGATCACAACGTCACCACACAATCCGAGCACAAGAGCAAGGCCACAAGGCCAGTTCACATGCAAGATCATATATAAAAGTAAACAGGCAAGTGCACGTATAGAAAGATCACAGTACAAGCAAGGTCAAGAAGTGAGCAAGTGAGGCCAAGTAGGCACAAGACCTAGCATAGTACAGAAGCGCTGATGATCACCAGGCGGAAGGGCCTTGGTAAAGATATCAGCAGTGTTGGCCTCAGAGGCCACGTAAGCAAGGCGCAGCTGACCACGCTGCTGCTGCTCACGAGCAAGGAAGTAGCGGGGAGCAATGTGCTTCGTTCTGTGCTCCAGTCTGTGCTCCCGACACAAGGCCAGCATGGCCTTGTTGTCTACATACAGAACTGGAGGAGAACGAGGCGGCTCTCCTAGGTCAGTCAGCAGGTAGGTGAGCCAGCGTAGCTCCTGTGCAGCCATGGCCCCCGCGTAGATCTCAGCCTCACAGCTGGAGCCGAGAACAGAAGACGAGCGGGTAGACCGCCACGAAACAGAGCCGGAGCCAAGGCTGAAGGTGTAACCCTGTGACGACCGCTGCGTAGCCTGGTCGTCAGCCCAAGAAGCGTCTGCGTGACCTGTCAGTACCACTCGACGTCGCCCTCCAAGCACTAGCCCCATGCCCGACGTACTGCACAAGTAGCGCAACACCCTCTTCGCTGCAGCCATGTGCTCTGGTCGGTGTCTCCCAGGAGCAACATAGCGTGCCAAGATACTAAGAGGGTATGCAAGGTCAGGTCGTGTGCAGGTCATCAGGCACATGAGGCAGCCAACAAGCTCTGGGTACGGGCCACTCGGCTCTACGGACTCATCCGAAGGCAGAGCTGAGAGCGAGTGGCGAGTAGACAGAGGAGTGGCCTGAGGCGAGGAGTACGTGAAGTCGAAGCGCTGAAGGACCTGCTGCACCATGTGTGACTGAGTCAGGGTAATGGTGCGCTGTGCTCTGTCCCGGGTGATCTGCAAGCCAAGGTAGCTGCGCAGTTCACCCAGGTCTGTGCACGTGTGTCTCTTCTGCAGCTCGGACTTCACGTGGGCGAGTCCAGCAGTGTCAGCAGTGGCAAAGACCAAGTCGTCGACGTACACGAGGATGTAGAACGGCGGCAAAGAGGTGTCGGTGCGCAGAAACAGCGACGGGTCGGCTGTAGAAGGAGCAAACCCAAGAGCCGCAAGTGTAGTCCTCAGTGTGTCGTGCCACTCACGGGGCGCCTGGCGGAGACCGTAGACTGGCCGCCGGAGGCTCCACTGGGTACCAGGAGGAAACGACCCAGTGAAGCCAGGTGGGCGGCGCAGCCAAATCTCCTCGTGCCGGCTGCCCTGCAGGAAAGCTGTGCTGAAGTCAAGAGAGTGAAGCTCGTAGTCGCGCTGAGCAGCTATGTGCAGCAGCACCCGAAGAGTGGTCATCTTCGGGGTGGGAGAGAAGGTCTGAAAGTAGTCAACTCCCTGCCGCTGACTGAAGCCTCGAGCCACGTAACGCGCCTTGAAGACAGGCGGAGAACCCGGCGGCCGCTTCACCCTGAAAATCCACATGCCACTGACGATGTTCGCCCCAGGTGGGGGAACCTCGTCGACGTAGGTGCCTGTGGACTTCCAGGAAGCCATCTCTGCGTCCATGGCTGACTGCCACTAAGAGGAGTAGGGACCCTCGATCGCCTCAGCGTACGATCGAGGAGTCGGGATGTCTGGTGCATCCGGGTCTCCCTCAGGGGCAATCAGCGTGGACACGAGATGAGGCAAAGCAGCAGCAAAATACTGGAACTCCTCCTGCCTGTCCTCAAGGACGTCCGTGCTAAGAGCACACTCACCCCCGACGGACGGAGGACAGACAGACTCAGACTCAGCAACAAGACTAGCAGCGTAGTCTAGACGACAGCGAGCAGCAAAGTCGACAAGCTCAGCAACGAGGGCCGACGCAGCAGTGGACTCAAAGGAAGGGTCAGTGACAACAGTAGCCAGGAGACGCGTGACAGTAGGACTGGCAGCACGAAGAGAGTCAGACTCCGGGTCAGCAAGAACAGGAAGAGAGGACTCAGGAGGAGACGGCAACGGGACACGCAGAGGAGCAGTGGAAGGATGCAGGGCCATCTGGTGTGTGCCTGGGACCGCAGGAGGAGGGGGACGCGGAGCACGACCACTAGTGCGAGCAACACGAACAGGCGACGCAGGACGAGACGCAGGCTCACGACGCTCAGCAAGACCTCCAGTAGGACCAGTGTAGGGAGAAGGAGCAGGTAGGGGGGAGGCGGGCTGTAACTGTGACTGCGACTGGACAGGCGGTGGACACTCTAAGGGAGGAGCAGGACCAGTAGAGGGCGGGAGACCAAGAACCTGCTCAAGGAGCGGAGCGAAGTACGGCCGCGGCCGCGCAGTGCCTCCAGAACCAGCAGGGACAGCACCAGTACTCCCAGCGGCAGCACCAGCGCAAGGAGCACCTCCAGCTCCAGCAGCGCCAACTCCAGCACCCTCAGACGCAGCAGCGCCAGCAGAACCACCAGCGCCAACACCCCCAGCAGCTCCAGCTCCAGCAGCTCCAGCAGCACCAACTCCAACAGGACCGGCAGCTCCAGTACCGCCAGCAGCTCCAGCAGTACCTCCAGCAGGACCAACTCCAGCAGCCCCAGTACCGCCAGTACGAGCACCTCCGGGACCAGCAGCAACAGTAGTACCTCCAGCTCCAGCAGCACGGCTCCAGCGCCGGGCAAACCACTCGCGCAGCTCCTGTGGAGAGAGTGGCTCCCGCCTCGACGAAGCACCGCGAGAGGCCACACGAGTAGACCCAGCACCCCCAAGCTCCGCACCCCCAGGCTCAGCACCCCCAAGCTCAGCACCCCCAGACTCAGCACCCCCAGGCTCAGCACCCCCAGGCTCCGCACCCCCAGGCTCCGCACCCCTGGACTCAGCACCCCGAGGCTCCGCACCCTGAGGCTCAGCACCTCCAGACCCGGCACCCGCAGGCTCAGCACCTCTAGCAGCACCAGAGTCAACAGCTACCTCGACAGGCTCGACTGCGTCTACCTGGGACACACCTGACGGGGCAGGACCCTGAGGGGGGAGGGGGTCTACCGGGGGAGGACCTGGCGCAAGGAAGAGCGGCGGCGGGGGGAGGGGCGTAGTGCGGTAGGGGAAGAGACGGTAGTAAGGCACCGACTCGTCAAAGGTGACGTCCTGGGAGGACAGAACACGACGCGAGGTGGGGTGGTAAAACTGCCACCCAGGCGCGTCAGGGGGGAAGCCAAGGAAGACGCAGGGAACAGCACGGGGGGACAGCTTGTCCGCAGACAAGTCGCGGACAAACGCCCGAGATCCCCAGACCCGAAACTCAGACGCATCGCCAACCTTCCCCGTCCACCGCAAGGTGGGGGAGGTCTCTGGCAAGGAGACCCGGGGCTGAAGGTTGAGCTGATGCGCTGCGTACTGAACCGCAAACGGCCACAGAAAATGGGGAGCAGCCGCATGGATCATGGACGTACGAGCGACGTCCATGACCATGCCAATGCGGCGCTCAGCAATCCCATTTTGCTGTGGAGAGGCCGGAAGCGTGAAGGTCTGGCGGATGCCCTGTGCACGACAGAAGGCTCCCAGACGGGCAGAGGAAAACTCCCCGCCTCTGTCAGAGTGCAGACGCAGAACAGGAAAGTCCGAGCCGAAACTCTCTCTGAGCTGGAGACGAGCTGCGCGGATCCAGTCGATCAACACCTCAGCGACGTCACCCTTGCTGTGCAAGGGGAAGACTGTGGTGTAACGCGAGTAGTCGTCAACCACCAACAGGAAGTAACGCTCGTGCCCCTGGCCACAGAGCGGGCGGGGCCCCACACGTCCATGTGAAGAGTCTGCAGCGTAGCCTCTGTCGGAGGAAACTCGGAGGAGTGAGGGGCGGCGCGCTGTCGCCCCTCGACGCAGGGGACGCAGGTAGGGGCAGGCCCCGGAGGTAGGGGAGGGAGAGACCGGGGGAGACCAGAGACAAGGACACGGGAGGCCATGCCTCGGAGGCGAGGCAGGGAGGGGTGACCAAGGCGGTGGTGCCAAAGGAGAGTCTGGTGGGACAGGAGACGACATGAGCAGGGAGTAGACTCAGGACCAGACCTGGACGCTGCAGCAAGCACCTGACTCGACGCAGCTACCTGACCAGACTCAGCAGCCGGAGGAGACTCAGTAGTAAGTGTGTACAGGCTCGACCCCGGCCGACGAGTGAACGTGGCCAAGTGTCGACCTGTCCGAGCACACGTGCAGTGGGTCACCCGCTGACTCGCAGGAGTGAACTGGTCAACCCCCCTGTCCTGTAGATCAGCTCCACTCACCAAGTTCGTAGAGAACGAGGGGAGGTAGAGACCTGACAGGGTGCCAGAGGGGGCTGCCGGACACGGTAAGACAGTGGAGAAGCTAGCAAGGACAGGGCCCCCAGAGGGGTCCGCCAGGGAGACCGCAACCGGCCGACTAAGCGGCGTAAGCGTGGTGCGGTCTCGAAAGAAGGAGCGGGAAGCACCCGAGTCAAGGGTGAAAGTGTGTAAGGCCTGAGCTGACGTAGTACCTGAGAGAGCAGACTCACCAGCATCTGGGGCAGCAGACGCACTAGCACTTAGAGCAGCAGCCTCACCAGCACCTAGAGCAGCAACCTCAATGCCCGGGTCAGGCGGAACACACAGGTAACAGTCACCCTCAACACTATCAGACACAGCATACATGGCAGCAAGAATAGCATCATAATCAAGATCAAAGATAGCAACCCCCGCCCTAGACAGCTCTCCCCAGCGAGGGATCTCAGTGGCGTCAGGGAACTGGTGACGCCACGCGTCCGTCAGGCGGCCGTAGCAGCGCTAGGTGGAGTGCGGGCCCCCGCACTGCTCACCAGCGCGGTCGCCGGTACGGAGGACGTAGGTACAGGGACCAGTACCCCCACCGCGCTGACGCGCAGCGTACCACTCACGAAGCTGCTGAGGGGACAGGGTCTCACGACTGCGCTGCTGCTGCTGGCGCGGACCACCACCGGACCCACTCCTCTGCGCAGAGCCACGACCAGCTCCACCGCTGCCGCCGCCGCCTCCGCCACCTCCGCCGCCTCCGCCACCTCCACCGCCTCCGCCACCTCCGCCGCCTCCGCCACCTCCGCTCCCTCCGCCACCGCCGCCGCCTCCTCCGCCGCCACTGCTGCCACCGACACCTCCACCCCCGCCACCACTCCCACCACCAACCCCACCCCCTCCACTGCCTCCACCACCACCTCCACCGCCCCCGCCAGCCCCTCCAGCGCCCTTGCCCCCTCTGCCCTTGCCGGTGCGGCGTCTCCCGCTAGGGGCAGACGCCGCGCCGACCGACTCGAAACCAACGAGGTCGGCCGCAGCAGCAGAAGCAACAGAGGGCAAGAGAGGGGAAGGGGAACTTCCCTCAAAGACGGGGGTGCGAGGCTCACCACGAGAGGCTCCTATAGCGACTATGCTCTTCTCTGCTGCTAGGAGGCGCTCCTCGAGGAGGTCAACGGTGAGTGTGGTGGGGCAGACTGAGAGGACGTGGTCCTTGACTAAGCGAAGGGAGTCAGGGAGCCGGGTGACTATATAGTAGAGGGTGATGTACATGGGGGGGGGGGTTCTTGGCACAGAACTCAGCAGGAAGCGCAGCACGGTAGCGAGTGTCACTAGTGCGAAGGTGCGTAATGAGGTCAGCGACTGTGTGAAAGGAAGCAAGGTCAGGGAACAGGTACGGCAGCATGAGGCGGCTAAGCGCAGCAGTGGCAGGGGAGGAGTAGCGTGCAACTACAGCGGCGTATAAGGTCTGAGCACTCTTGTACTGGCTTAAGTGCGCACGCTCAGCGGTCGGTAAGTGGCGACGCACAGCAAGACGGGCAGCAGCATCGCGTGTGGCCCACTGTGAGCGAACAGTGCTGTCAGCAGTAGCAGGCGGGGCAAGAGAGGCACCAGAGGTGAGATCGAACAGCGAGAGTCCGTCAGCCCTATCGCACTGTAGGAACAGCTGGAGGTCATCGACCCAGACCTCAAAGTCAACAGCACGACCCTCAGCATCAAAGGTAAGGACACTGGGGGTAGCCATGACTGCAGTGGCCTAGCAGGGAGGGATCTCACCAGTCCAAGTAAGTAGGGCCGGGGCGCGCCACTAGGAACAGTAGCTGCTCAACGGCAGGGCTGCTGGGCGGCTCAGCTGCTGGGCGGCTCGGCGGCTCGGCGGCTCGGCTGCTGGGCGGCTCGGCGGCTCGGCTGCTGGGCGGCTCGGTGGCAGGGCGGCTCGGCGGTTCGGCTGCTGGGCGGCTCGGCTGCTGGGCGACTCGACGGCTCGGTTGCTGGGCGGCTCGGCTGCTGGGCGGCTCGGCGGTTCGGCGGCTCGGTCGCTGGGCGGCTCGGCGGCTCAGCTGCTGGGCGGCTCAGCGGTGAAGGGGCCGGTAGAGGCGGCGATGGAGCCGCTAGGGGCGGCAGCGAGGGCCGCTAAGGGCGGCGAGGTGGCCGCGAAGGGCGGCGACAGGGCCGCGAGAGGCCGCGAAGGGCGGCGACAGGGCCGCGAGAGGCCGCGAAGGGCGGCGACGGGCCGTGAAGAGGCCGCGAGGGGCCGCGAAGGGCGGCGTAAGGGGCCGTAAGGGGCCGTAAGGGCGCCGCGAGGGGCCGGAAAGGGCCGCGCGAGGGGCCGTAAGGGCGGCGCGAGGGGCCGTAAGGGGCCGCAAGGGCGGCGCGAGGGGCCGACGGGCGGCGCGAGGGGCCGTAAGGGGCCGTAAGGGCGGCGCGAGGGGCCGTAAGGGTGGCGCGAGAGGCCGTGAGAGGGGCCGCGAAGGGCGGCGCGAAGGGGCCGTGAGGGGCCGTGAGAGGGCGCGACGGTAGGGAGGGCACACGGGGCGTGACTCGGGCAGGAGCAAAGCGCGCTCCGGGCAGGAAAAAATCGTGGTGGGCCCTAGGAAGCGTTCCCACTAGGGAACCTGCTCTATACCATGTGAAGAGTGAGGAATGAATGAACTAGCACAAGGTTGGGTACAAGTAGGAAACCCTAGGAACTGTACCCCATAGTGTCTACCCCACTATAGCCTAGACAAGCTATATGATATAAGTTTGACAGCTCGCCCTGCACGCTGCACCGAGTGAGCTGCTGCTGCTGCTAAGTGCTACTGCTGCATGAAGTGCTGCTGCAACTGCTACCTGCTGCCTTCACGCACCCAGCCCGCGCGCTGTTGCTGCTGCTGCTGTGCGTCTTCTCCCAAGTGCTGCTGCTGCTGCTGCTGCTGCTGCTACTTGCTGCAGTTGCTGCTCCTTGCTGGTGCTGCTACTTGCTATAGCTGTTTTTACTTGCTGCAGCTGTCACTCCTTGCTGCCGCTGCTTTTGCTGCTACTGCCGCTGCGTCGTTTGATGGTGCGTCGTGCTCTGTCCCGGGTGATCTGCAAGCCAAGAGAGCTCCGCAACTCACCTAGGTTAGTACAGGTGTGTCTCTCCTACAGTTTCGCCTTCGCTAAGGCCAGCGCCCCAGTGTCAGCAGTAGCAAAAACCAAGTCGTCGACGTACACGAGAACGTAGAACGGCGGCAGAGAAGTGTCGGTGCGTAGAAACAACGACGAGTCAGTAGTATAGAAGGAGCAAACCCAAGAGCCGCAAGTGTCGTCCTGAGAGTGTCGTACCACTCGCGGGGCAAATGACGGAAACCGTAGTCTGGCCGCTAGAGGCTCCACTGGGTACCCTCTGGAAACGACCCAGTGAAGCCGGCAGTGCAGCCAAATCTCCTCGTGAAGGCTGCCCTGTAAGAAAGTTGTGGAGAAGTCGAGGGAGTGCAGCTCGTAGTCACGCTGTGTTGCAACGTGCAGCAACACCCGGTGAGTAGTCATCTTCGAGGTGGGAGAGAGGGTCCGGAAAAAGTCGACCCCCTGTCGCTGACTGAAGCCTCGAGCAACGTAACGCGCCTTGAAGGCAGGCGGAGAACCCGGCAGCCGTTTCACTCTGAAAACCCACATGCTATCGATTATGTTCGCCCTAGGAGGAGGAACCTCGTCGACGTAGGTGCTTGTGGACTTCCATGAATGTTGTTATCAGATCTATGAAGAAGTATTTTGAGAAGTTTCTTAACACTTCTTTATACACATAACAGTACGTTAGGGAGCAGGTTACGCCAATGACTCCTTGTGGCATATGCTGACAATGGATGGAATCAGGGTTTTTTTTTTTTTTTTTGGGTTGCGAAGCAACCTATTACAATCGTTATGTACAAAATTTTTTTTTTTCAATCCTCCATACTTCACAAAATAAAGGATGGAAAAAATCTAGTGAACGGTACTAGCTAAGTGACTGACTGCTAGGTATTGCCGCGTCAATTTACCACGTGCTGAACCACATTCCTTCTCTTTTCCTACTGTCTGTCGCGCACCCCGTGGCGTGCGATGTACATTTTTTCTTCCCGCCACGCGCTCGGGGCGCGTGGCGGTTTTCTGCCCGCCATGCGCTCGGGATGCGTGGCGGTTTCCGTCGACCCGCGCGCCCGTCCCCGTCGACCTTCGCGCGGCTCCCCGTCGCTCTTCGCGGCGGCCCCGTCGACCCGCCCGCGGCTCCCCGTCGCCCTTCGCGGCGGCCCCGTCAACCCGCGCGCGGATCCCCGTCGCACTTCGCGGCGGCCCCGTCGACCCGCGCGCCGCCCCCGGGGACCCGTGCGCTCGTCCCCGTCGACCCACGCGTCGCCCTGCGGCCCCCCCCTCCCCGGCACACCTGAGTTTGCTAACCGCACACCTGAGTTCGCTTCCCGCACACTTGTGCACGATTCGCGCACACCTGAGCTCGCTTACCGCACACTCAGGGTATGGGGGTGACGGGTATGGGGGTGGCGGGTGTGTGAGCCGTCACCTGCTCCTCCTCCTCCTCCGTCTCCCACTGCTGCAGCTGCCGCTGAGGGGGGTGGGTGTGTGGGAGCCGAAGGAGTGGTGCTAGGGGGGTGACAAGGGAGTGGAGTTAGGGGTGAAGCAGTTAGGGTGTGTGTCAAGGGTGTGGGTCAGTTGGAGGAGGTTGTGTGGAGGTAGCTGTCGTGTCGCCTGCAGCGCCTGTAGTCCGTCGCCCTTGCTTCGGTAGCCAGTGAGCCTGTTGCACCAGTCGCCAGTGGGTCCGTTGCTCCTGCCGCTCGTCTTAGCCGCGGAGCCAGTCACTCCAGTAGTCCGTCGCCCTTGCTTCGGTAGCCACTGAGTCAGCCGCTCCTGTGCCCGTGCCTCTGCAGCTTCAGTCGTTGCCTCCCATCTTCTCTCCTCCCACAGTCTCTCCTCCTCCTCACTTGCCCTCTGTGTTAGCCTCTAGCTTTGCTTGCAATTGTGAACCTGCTCTATGACTGCTTGCTATGCTAACTATACCCCACTTTGACTATGGGGGTGTGTCAGAATATAATGCTTGTCTAGTCTGTAGTGGGGTACTCAATAGTGAGTATACCCTTTTAGGGCTTGCTATTTGTACCTCCCTTCTTTCTAGTCAATCTCCTCTTTTGCCTAATTCTCTCTTGCCTAGCTAGGTAAACCCTAGCTATGGCTCCTTCATTCTAACTACTACTCTGACACCTCGATCGCCTCAGCGTACGATCGAGGATTCGGGATGTCTAGCGCATCCGGGTCTCCCTCAGGTGCAATCAGCATGGACACGAGATGAGGCAAAGCAGCAGCAAAACACTGGAACTCCTCCTGCCTGTCCTCAAGGACGTCCGTGCTAAGAGC